ACCAAACACACAAACACACCCCCCCCCCCCCCCCACACACACACACACACACACTCCCAGTGCTTCTACACCAGAGATCTTCTGAGCCAGGTTGTTATAGGCAAAAATGTACTTTCTTTTGGCGGCTAAATTAATACAGATTTAAATAACCATATTCGTTCTCACATCCATTCTAAAACTCTTTGATCTTTGAATTAAACAACAACAACAACAACAAAAATACAGACCACATTTCAGGAGCAAATTATGACTTTATCTTGTAGGTTGCTAGAGAATCTTGAACTGTAGTACTTACCATGGGCCAGGTGAGCTGGTGTAAGAGACTAGGGGACCTGGAACCCTGTCCTGGGTCTGAGACTGAATTGTCTACTTGGCTAAAGGACGTTCTCTTTTTTTGTGAGTCTGTTTAGAACATGTCACATAACGTGGTGGTCTCATCTCCCTTTAGAGTTGTTTCTTTACCTCATTTGTAAACTCCCTCCACCTCAGGAAGGTCATTTTTTTAAAACAAAAGAAGTAGATTCGTTTTTTAAAGGTAAATAGTAGGCTGAAATCTCTAGTCGTGATAATGTTCTTTTTATCTTAAAGCAGGGATCAGGAACTTTATGTGTAATGAGCCAGAAGGTCAATATTCTAGGACTGGTGCAAGGACTTCACTTTGCTGATGAATGCCTGGGGGCGGGGAGCTGCCAGTCATAAGGCATTTGGCCAGGAGTTATATTTTCCATTGGGGGGTGGGGAAGGGGGGAGTTAAAAATTGGAGACAATGATACAGCCTCCTTAATGTCATCCTTTGCCTAGGACCCTAAGCTTAGGCAAGTCTCTCAGATGGTCTCCTAGCCCCCTAGTCTGTTTTAATGGAGAACAGGGACTCAATTCAGTATGGGACCTTAAGAGGTTTACTATAGCTTTTGTCCTTTTACTTACATCATTTTAGATATTTTTTCTTTCCTTTTTTTTTTGGGGGGGGTGTGTTTGTGTGTGTGTGTGTGTGTGTGTGTGTTGGGGGCGGAGGAGGCGGAATATGTTTCTTGAAACCGCAATTGCTCAATTATAAAAACGAAATTGTTTTTTTTTCCTGCTGTGGATGTTCATATACAGCTGAGAAGTATATAGGAAAGTAAAAATTTTTTAAAGTTTGAAACAATCAAGGTTAAGTGCACAATTGAATGGTTTTTTAGTACCTTTAGACAGTGGTGCAGCCATGACCACAGTCCACATTTAGAAAATCTCCCTCACCCTCAAAAGCTTCTTTTTCCTCATTTGGTCGTTGTCTCTCCTATTCCTAGCTCTGGGCCCATTCATCTACGGTCTTTGTCTAAGAATTTCCCTTTTTCAGAAGTTTCATTAAATGGAAACCTACAGTATGTGGTCTTTGTGTCTGGCTGCTTTGACTCACTATAATGTTTTGGAGGTTTGTCCTTACTAGATAATGTATTGGAACTTCTCAGTGGTTTGTTGTTGTTATTGTTTTTAACTGAGAAGTTCCATTATGTAGTTTCACTGCATTTTATTTGTCTCTACCAGTTAATAGACATTTAAATTTTTTCCAGTATTTGGCAATTGTAAATAATATTGCTGTGAATACTTGATGAGGTGTAGCTAAGGAGTTGAATTGTTGGGCCATATGTCTAGGCTTTTTAAAGAAATTGCCCAGCTAGCCAGGTGCAGTGGTATACATCTGCAATCCCAGTGACTCGGGCGGCCCAGGCAGGAGGATCACAAGTTCAAGGCCAGTCTCAGCAACTTAGTGTGAGACGTTGTCTCAAAATAAAAAATTAAAAGGGCTGGGGATGTAGCTCAGTGATGGAGCATCCCTGGGTCCAGTCCCCAGTACCAAAAAAGAGACAGAAAAAAAGAAATTGCCAAACTGTTTTTCAAGGAGGAAATAACATTTATATTCCCACCAGTTTCTCTACATCTTCACCAACATTTGGTAGAGTCCGTCTTTTTTATTATAGCCAGGAAATCATTTGTTGGCCATAGGAAATTGAACCTCTGTGAACCTCACTTTAGAAGAAAGGGGTGTTATTACTTGTCTGTCTGTCTTACAGGTTTGCTCTAAACATCAAAGGAGATAGGAATTTATGTGCAAGCACTTTGTATTGCAAAAATGTTACTGGTCATTATGTATGGAAAAGTTTTTAGTTATTAAATTGAACACTCACATATCTGTCTAAGAGAGAGATGAAAACTTGTCCAAGTTTTAATAAAACATGTGTGTTAGGCTTAAACATGTTCCACTTGCTTATAAAGGCAATTTTGACTGAATTGTGAGCTTTGTCCATATGTTAGGGTGCCTGTATTGTATATTAAATTATCAGCCTTATTTAACAATGAAAGAATATAATGGTTTGCATGTGGCAGGCAAAGTTTTCTTCCCCACTCAAACTTGGATGATCTGGTAAATGTCTGCCTGTGACTTCAATTTCAGATGCTTGTGGGTGGCCTCTCTTGGACCTGGGCATGTGTGCTCTGTTCTAATAGAATAGAAGTAGAAAGACTGGGGCTCAGAGAAACCGCCAAGAACAATCTGTGCAAAAATATCCAATTTCAGTGGTTTTACTTTGCAATCCTGATTCTGTGAAAATTATGTTTATACACTTTCAAAGAACAAAGACAGTGTTCTGAATGCATTTCCTTTCTTCCTTGTGGAAGATGACTATTTATTATGGACTGGGGGAACTGATCAGTGGGCTCTGGGGTGGAATTCTCATAAAACTTTGTTATCAGCAGCTCTTCACACCTGTGAAAAAGACCTTTGGACGCAGAAGCTGAGGTGTATGTTTGAGTTTGTAGCACTGTGTCAACAAAGGGCTTTTAGTGCTTTCAAAGGAGAAGGTGAAGAGAATCTAATAAGGGAAAAAAACACATGCTGGACTAAGAGTATGTCATGTGTGGCCTCTGGAAGTCGGAAGGTTTATGTGAATCCTGGTGATGATTTGTATTCATTTACTAATATTATATGATAAAATCATAGTTTCATTCTGACTTAATTGACAGTTTTAATGAAGTGGAGAACAGGTGTGTGAAATCCTTTTTGATGGAAATGGTGCTAATGATGGTCAGAATTAAACAGGAAGCTGTGGACCCAGGGTTCTGGGATGGAGGTGCATTGTGAATTATGCTTCATGACTTTAACCTAATGAGTAACAACTCTCACCTCATAAGGCTTTGGGAATTTCCCAAAGTGTGAGAGTGCATGTGCGCATTTGGAGGTATTTCAAACTTTCAATGTTTCAGTGAATTAAAAAGAAGATGAATTTAAAAGAAGATGAATGAAGGCATTCAGGAACTTGGAAGTCTTTCTCTAGACAGTTATAGATAATGCGGTTAGGGTATTGAGTGACATTTGAGAGAGTGGCCTCGGTGCTGTCTGAAGTCACTGTTCTCTTTGGAAGCAGCTGTTTGCTAATAAAGAAATTAGGACTGACAGGCAATTTTAAGTGTCATTCTTTCCATGTGTTACCAGCGTCTCAGCCTGAAGCCAGAGTCAGAGGGATGTGACTGGTCAAGGGGAAGTGGGAATTTGGCCCCTGTTGGTGTTAATGTGTGTTCTCTAAATAGGCAGCCTGCAGGATTTTAAGTAGAAACACGTATTCATTTTTTATGCTCTCTTAGTGGGGGAATTCCAACCATCTTAGGGAGATGGGTAAAGAACTATGGATGGGGGATGGGGTAAACAACTCAAACTCCCCATAACCCTGGGAATTGAATGTCTGTGGGGAGGAGTGGCTGGTAAAGAATTGGGGTGCTGCGAGAGCCTCTAAACTCACTGAGGAATTAGGTGAGCCAGTTTGTGGGGAAAAGAGTTTTAACCTTGGCACCTCCAGCCCCCTCTGTCTTCTTGGAAATGCTTGCAGAACCTCCTGAGCAAGTGGCCCCTCCTTCTGGGACCCCAAAGTCTAGCTAGGTGGCCACAAATGCTTTCATGGAACTCAAGGTTGACTAATAGGGATCCTGAGTATGACAGCAAACATTTTAAGTCCTTGACTGAGGGAGTTAAACAAGGTCCTTATTGGCACAAGGGAAAGAACTACTCAGTCTAAATTTTATATCTTCTGACATTTTCTTTTTAGGAGGACAGGAGAGAATAGTTATGTGAGAAAACTGCCCAGTCAAGGTGACCTCTTTGTTGTTGTCTTCCAATTGTTGGCAGATTCACGAATGCATTTTATTTATGAATTATGTGAAGGAGGCAGAGTCAGTGTGATGTGTAAAAAGAGCATGGGATTAGGAATTGGAGAGGCTTGATTTAAGACCTGCCTGGGTCGCTGCTCATTTATCCAGTGGGAAAATTCTTAAAAAATGGAAATGGAATCAGTGCCAAAAAATATGGCCAAAATGCTAAGTTGCAGAAGTTATAATCTTTTGCCCTCAGTGGTGGAATTCTAACAAATTTCATACTGAGTTCTTTAGTCCCTCTTTTGGAGATTTCAATTGACATGTAGATTTTTGTACCGGTGGGGTGTCAATGGAATGGTCTGATGTCCTCAAAGGAGACTAGTGTGTGTGATCTGGGAAGACAGGAGCCACCAGAAGGCTCTCAGAGAGGTGTTTTGACCTTGTCAAACCTCCTGTGTGGAGCCTGGCTGCCTGGTTCAGGTTCTCTGTCAGTGCTGTTGCTTATTGGTGTTGGGCTAATTACTTTACCTGCAGTCCTTAGTTTCTCCACCTATAAAATGGGAGAGATGGTGGTGCCTGCTCATAGGGTGCTTGTGAGAGTGGAATTCAGTCATTTAGAAGAATCACTGACACACGGGGAGCACAGGGGCTGCTGTTTTCCTGCTTTCTCAGTCAAGCAGGATTCTTGTCACACTGTGGATAGGAAGGGCTGTGGACCATGCTTTCTGAAGGTTTCTTCTTTTCTTGGGAAGACATTTTCTTTTCAAAAAGATTTTTTTTTTAAGCCATGTAGGGTCATGGTAGTTTTAAGAATGATGTTTTGCCATAAAATACAAGCCAAACTCATAGTTAAATGATGTTTGTTTTGCTTACAGGGAACACGGGTCTGGCTGAAGGAAAATGGCCAGCATTTCCCAAGTACTGTAAATTCCTGTGCAGAGGGCGTCGTCGTCTTCCAGACAGACTATGGTCAGGTAAGAGCCAGTTGCTGAGCTTCCACATCTGCTTTGGGTCACCCAAGGGCAATGTGCTCTCCCCCACACCCCCTTCCTCACCTCATACCTTGAAGTTTTGTCTCAGTGATAAGTTAAAATCCCAGAGGACATGTAGAATGTACACATAGTGCCTATAGAGATGAGATACAGTCCCCACAAAGGGAACACACCAAGTGTTCCCACCAGAATACCATCGACATGGTGGCCTATAAACAATAGAAATCTATTTCTTGTGGTTCTAGAGCTGAAGAGTTCAAGATCAAGCACCAGCTGGTTCTGTGTCTGGGGAGAGCCCTGCTCCCAGGTGCATTCTTGCTGTGTCCTTGATGCTGGAAGGGGCAAGGCAGCTCACCCAGGTCTCTTGTATAAAAGCCCAAATCCCATTTCTGAGGACTCCACTGTCACACTCTAATACTCCACAAAGGCTTTACCTTCCAATAGCATGGCATTGGGTGGGGGGGCGGTAAGATTTCAACACATGTACTGGGATGATTCAGTCCATAACCCAGAATGAATAATACTGGCAGGTCAGAAAGCAGTGAGGTGGGGGTGCAAAGGAAAGATGCATCCTTCCTGGGCATTCCCCCAGTGACTCACCCCTCCAGCCACACCCCCACATACATACCTGTCAGTCATTCAAATTAGGCTGGATTGATGAGGTTACAAATTTCAAAATCTAATCACTTTATCTCTTAACAGTTCTGCATTAACACAGTAGCTTTTGGAGGGACACTTCATATCCAAATCATAGCAAATGTTCACTTTAAATTTCATTTCACTCTAAAATTTAAAATACTACAGGTTAAAGCTAGGAATACAGAGAATCAAAATGCTCCCTTTAACTCGTAATTATACTTTCTGAAGTATTTGCAGATGGAAGGAAAAAACGAGCAAATAACATGGCTCTCTCAGTTTGTAGAAAAATATGCATTGGTGGGGGTAAGATTTCAAGACATGTACTGGGATGTGTTGAAATCTGGGCTCTGAGCTCCACAGCACACAGGCTGGACAGCACACATCCTGAAGTTCAAGATTAATTCTTCTTAGTGCGACAGAATTTTGAAAGAGGAGATTTTAAAAAATACCATTGTTCTTCAGAGTACAGATAGAGGTAAAAGACCCACCTTTGCCAAAGGGTAAAATTCAAGACAACATTGAACATAGTCTTTTCTGGAATGTTCAGGAGGTGCAGTGGCCATCATTGCATCTTGTAGAACTGAGTAATAAGTTCTAAATTAGGTTTTTCACTTGGAGGGACGGGACTATTATCTTTTTCTGTAAGATTGCTCCAAAATAGCTTAGTGATATCAGTTTATCTAAATCGTATTTGATGGGTAGTTATTTAATTTACCCCCGTGAACTTCATCAAGGCTCCTCCTCGGTGTGATGACTGCATTTCATTTTCTGTTTGAATTGTCTTTATTTGGGTCTTCCAAAATACTTACTGGTTGGGGATTTAAACCCAAATCTATAAGTAATTGTCCTTCTTCAACCCCTTCTCTTTTCATTTGCAACAAATATAATCAGATTTTATTTTAAAAGTTATTCTTCTCATTTTATTAATCCCTCCAAAAGTCATTAGATCACCCTATTCTATCAAGTTGTCCCCACCCCTAAGAAAGTTCCATTTGTTCAAGCCACACAGGAAACAGTACTAATCACTTGTAATCACAGCTCTTGTTTAAAGCTGGCTCTAACCCTTTTGGTTTGACCTGCTTATTTTGACTTCTTGGAGTCAGTGCTATGGACCTAATTTTATAAAGCCTGAGAATGGTTTAGTTAGTGTGGGGTGACTTTCTTCAGTTTTTGTTGTCCTCACACCCCACTTTCTGCCCTGCCTAGATGCTTTTTTTTTTTTTTTTTTTTTCCTCTTTCTTTCTTTTTTGTTTTTCTCTCTGGGCTTTGCCTCTTGGTGACTTGTTGTGGGCAGCCTTTTGACTTCCTCACACTTTTTCACTACACCATCTGTTGTTTCCTGGAGAAATCTCCCTGAGCCTGTCAAAAGCTGGAAGTGGACAGTGGGGGGCAGCCCAGCATGTGTCAGATTTTAGAGCAGACCCTGCCAGTGATCGGGATTTGGAAAACTGGAGCTCAGTGACTTCACCCATAGGTGGGCAGCAGTCAGATCTGACTGGAGGGAAAGTGGCGGGTCCTCACTGTTTTCAGCGGAATGCCTGCTTTCCTAGCAGCCAGGAAGCTACATTCCAGGCTTCAGGCTCAGCCAGCTGTTGGGTGGAGGCAGCTGCCTGGGTAGAGTGGAGGTAGGAGCATGATCTTACCCACCAACTCTTAGGAGCCTGGAACAGGAAGTGAGTGAGCAGCAGCTGGTGAGGCCCCACAAGGGATAGCAAGCAGGAGAGGCCCCTGGGGCAGCTCCAGCCCTGGGAAGCGCTGCTGGGTGATGAACTGTGGAGCGAAGGGGAGACCAGCCGGGAGACAGCATGACTTGTGAAGATGGAGGAAACAGAGTTTGAGGACAACAATTATGATGCCAAAATGGTGTCATGAGGATACAGTGACTCAGAGCCAAACTGTGGGACAAAGAGGACAGTTCCCCTTGATATTATTAATATATTTTATTATATGTGATTTTTTAAAAGTTTATTCTATTCCTTCAGACTGACTTCCCTCCCTCCCTCCCTCCCTCCCTCCTTCCTTCCTTCCTTTCTTTCTTTCTTCTTAATAGGAATGACTTACCCATTTTTTTTCTCAAAAGGAAAGAAACATAAGATGTGGGGGGGTTTGGTCCATAATAGCTTCTCAAGGCTTGGATGTCTCCTGTATTTCAGTTGCTGCTTCCAATGAAACCAGCCTATGGATTTCAACCTGTGAAACTGTCATTCTTAGGGTCAAAAAGAGTTGAGCAGTAGTTTGTGTGGTTCAGCCTAACAGCATGTAATGGCTCTCCATTTTAATTTTTGCTTTAGTTTATCTGCTTATGATTTGAATGTAAGATTTTTCTGATGACTTATAGTAAAGTTCAACAAAATAGAAAGTTTTTCGTCATTCCACTCGGGAGGCAAAGCATATGCAAAGGCCTGGCTTTTGAAGTGCCACTGCCTGCTTCAATTCTGCAGCTGTTGGTTCTGTGTGTTTGCTGACAGCTATCATGTTCTTTTTTGGGCTTTTGCTTTTTCTGGCAATTGTATAGTACAGGATCTGCCATGATTGGTCTCTTCTACAAATGTCCAAATTGAAGTTGAGAGGAAAATGAATAAATGTACAGTTTTTGGTCCTTTTTCTTTTTGGTCCTTCTACTGTGTATGTGACTTGTTTACTGTGGTATGTATTTTTATATAGACTTTATATAAAATATAACCATTTTAACAATTTTTTAACCATTTAAACAAATTTTAGGCATGTAAATTAAGTCTGCATATGGTGTTCTGCATCCATCACCACTATTTCCAAAACACTTGAATCTCCCCAAATAAAAATTTTGAACCCAGTAAGCAGTAACACCCTATTTAACTTATTTTTAAAACTACTTGCCTCTTAGATACTAATTTTTTTTTTTTTTGGTGCTGTTTTAAAAAAATACTAGCACTTTGGAAATTCTGGTTTGTACCTGTTCTTAAGGAGTAGAAAGAAAGATGGTAAAGAAAGATGGCTTTAGACCCAATGCTGGGTTCCCAGAATAGAGAATCTGATAGTCCAATAGGTCTGCCTAGCACAGCTGCCCGCTTGGCCCTGGCCACATGCTCTGCATGTGGGGTTGGGCATTGCTACCCCTATGGGTGGGTGAAGGGCTCTTCTCAATAGGTGAGTGGGCTGTCAAGTCATCCTAAAAGTAGGGACAAATGGGGCACGCAGGTGACAAATGACAGATATTTTTTTTTTTTTCCAACTGGATGTATTTGTCTTCTTTCATTGAAATTTTAGTAGGGTCCCATCTGTTATCCTGGAATCCACATCCCTCAAAACAGTGCAGCTGTATTAAATGGAACACTGAGTTGGGAAGCTCTTGAATTCTATGTGCTTTTCTCACATTTCGCTGTTGCATCCTGGAAATACCCGTTTCTGAGATGGACCTTAAACATCAGCCTGTGGAATTTCTTAGAGTCAGAGGTCTATCCTCAGGGGAATGAACTCCATAGGGACTTGTCTTGCTTTCAAGACTAAGGAAACGGCACTTGTCCAACTTCCTTAGTTTTGAGTTAAAAAAAAAAAAAAAAAGTTTTCATACTCTTAAAACCCACGTGGTTCTAACTCTCTAGACGTCTTCCAGGAATGCAGTTTGGCATCTGTGGCTGAAAGATGGAAAGTCAAATGTTTCCATTAATTTTTACCCTGGGATTATAGAAAGAAGAAAAAAGAAAAACTTTGCTTGTTTATTAGTATACTTAGCTCTAGGAAACACATGTCTTTGCTTTCAAAACTGCAGAGCTCTGCATGGGAAGGTCACTTATTGTAACCTGGGAGGAAACTCTTGCTTAAGCAGGCCAATTCTTTGTTGTTCCCTTACCTCCCTGGGAGCCTGGTTCCTGCAGAGATGTGTCTGGTTCCCTGCCTTCATTCAGGGGTAGATGTCTCTAGTTCCCCCATCTTCATTCAGGGGTGAGCACACTGGTAGGACCTTCTCAGGAAGATTTCTCAGTCTCCTCAATGAGCCAGGCCTCAACTTCCTATCACATGTGTTTATTTCAGTCTCCTGGTCAAGTCTCTGAGGATGGACACTACTCATTGCTGGGCCTCTAGTACCTAGGTACAGAGCGTGGCCCATGGAGGCAGTCTCCTGCAAATACTGAATGGATGGAAGTCACCCCATTTGTAATCACCTTGAAGCCAAACAAATCATTAGAATGCTGTGTATTCTGTTAAGACTATTATCACATGACTTTTTTTGTTTGTTTGGTTTTTGTTTTGCTACTGGGGATTTAACTTAGGAGCAATTTACCACTAAGCCATGTCCCCAACCTTTTTTTATTTTTTATTTTGAGACAGGATCTTAGTAAGTCACTTAGGACCTCACTAAATTG